AAACATTGCAAGGCTTATAGTGCTTCGACAATGCTTACCCCACACGATAATACCTACCAGTCGAATGTTTTCAGTGAATTTGTGCCTCCCATTCACATTAGTGATGATTGTTGTGAACACCTCAAAGACAAAAATATCAATTTGACAGAGTTTTTTTTGAATGAGCATTATAGAACACTCATGAAACATATTCCTGAGCTCGACATTGCAAGTCATAAATTAGACGACATCCAGAAGTTAACCGACGAGCTACAGAAGAAACAAATGATGAGTACTTATACTCATTCAGCGTCGACTATTGCTATTCTCATTGCAGTATTGCTAGTCTTATTCATATTCTATAAAATGTATAAAAAATGTACAAATAAATCTGCCTGTTGTGGAATCATACCTAACTTATGTATTAAAGTAAACCAATCAGTCGAATCAATTCCACAGCACGTAGTACGGTATAGTCATAATACCGCACAGACACCTTTAGGTTCTGGTGATGTATCTGAGGAAGAAACTATAAATATAAATCCTGTTCGAACCAATCAACCAATAGGTTATATCCCATCTAGACGATCCATTAAATCAAAGAATTAATTTTTTCAATGTTCACATATAGTGCTTCTGCTGTTTCATGTTTCACCAATTAGTAAATTTACTAAAGCTACCAACTAAGTATCTTGTATAAGTTAATTAATTAATTAGTATAAGTATTATTCACATTTTTTATTTTTTATTATAATTTTCGATTTTATTACACTTACGCTATATAAAATCTCTTTTTGAAAAGGGAGGTGTCGTAAACGAATAAACTCTTCATTAATAATACGATGCTCACTATACATTTATTTACAGTAAATTCCATCATCTGTTTAGTTTAGCTCCATGTTTTAATGATAGGTACTTTATAACTTTATTACTTATTTAAGGCTTGGAATTATTATACAGCTTCTTTCTATGATTTCTATTGCAAGAACCCCAATTATTATCCTTGCCGCCAAGGCGCCAGAGACTGTAGAGTAGACCCTTCTTTTATTTTATTGTCTAGACGGCCAGAATTTCCTTGTACCTTTAGAATTTTAGTGTTTATGATTTTATTTCACAAACTTTCCAAAATAAACTTTACATCTGTATAGAATTAGGTACCTTTATATTTTATTACTTGAAGACGACGCCCTCCTTAAGGACATCTCATGAAGCCGTTTTCTTAGGAGAAGAAAGACTGAAGACAAGACACTCTGAATCCGGGCTTCAAACCGAAAACACGAAGTTATTTTAAATTAGTCAAAGCTTCCCTCTTGCCAAGCTATTTAATTTTATTTTACTTTTAATAAACGAAACCTTTTTTTTTAAACGAAAGTTAGAGTTTCAATTGCCGAGTCGGGACGATTATAACAAAAGAGTTAAGAGTACTACTAGACACTTTTTCAGAAAACACTGCGGCTTTGAATAATTTAGGGTTCCCAGTGGACCAATGGTGTTTCGTTTTATTCAACATGTTATTACAAAAATTGGATAATGCTACTAGAATTTCTTTTGAATTAAAGTATAGTACTACCGAACTCCCAACTTTTCAAAATTTACAAGATTTCTTACTAAACCATTGCAAAGCTTTAGATTCGGTTCAACAAATGCCATCGCAAGGAACGAACTGGACTCCTTTGATTAACAGAACTCCGAAACCAAATACTTCGAAAAATCATTCTTATGATCAACATAATCCAAACACATTTTTAGCCAACACTTCCTCTCATCCTAACACATCGGGGGAACATTCACATTCCCATCAGGGCCAACCTCGTTCCTCTTCGAATAGCTGTAAGCTATGTAATAACGCTTCACACCCGCTGTCACAATGTTCAAAATTCATAGCAAAATCACCTACAGATCGATTCGCGTTTGTCAAGCAGATAAACGCATGCTTAAACTGTCTTCGTCCTAATCATTTGCTAAGGAATTGTCCTTCATCCTTCAATTGTCGCATCTGTCGTTATAGACATCATACTATGCTGCATCTTCCACAGACAGATCCTCTTCACTCGAGCACAAATTCTGCTACTTCCAGGAACTGAAGTCCACCGGCTACCAGCAGTAATCAGTCCTCAACGTTGTCGCAAGCATGCATAACTGGCAATCCATCTCCTCCCAACGGACTTTGCACTGCTCTGTCAGTTACTGCATCACGTTCTACTACCGTTCTGCTATCAACTACAAAGGTTGAGATCTTGGATGCTGGAGGTAACTACCAGGTTGTGAGAGCAATCTTGGATAACGGCAGTCAGGCCAATTTTATTACCCAAACTTGCTTGAACCGTTTGGGGTTGGCTAGAGAGTCTTTAAATATCTGTTTTGAGCCTTAATGAGTCCTGTTCTGCCAGCAACGGCATAACACATGGTAACATTCGCCCTAAGGGACAAGCCAGTCCAAACTTTTTCTTTGATGCCTTTGTTTTGCCTAAACTTTGTTCTGAAATGCCTTCGATTAAAATAAACCCGCAAGGTTGGGAGCATATTTCCAATCTTAAGCTAGGAGATGACCAGTTTCACATACCTGCAGCGGTAGACATGTTATTAGGAGCCGATATGTGTGCGCAGATATTTAAACCATCGGGGAAGAAACTAGGAAATCCAGGACAACCAACTGCCTTCGAAACCGTCTTTGGTTGGGTTTTGTTAGGGAAAACCGAGAATCGTTTCCCCGCTTCGAGTTCTGTTCATACTTACTTTGCAGTAATGGAGCCATCTTTGGATTTAAGTCTTAGACGGTTCTGGGAAATAGAATCAATACCATCTAAAATCCATCTGTCGCCCGATGATCAAAGGTGCGAAGAAATTTACAAAACCACTACTATTCGAGATAAATCTTTGGGTCGTTTTGTTATGAATCTGCCCTTTCGGCACGCAGAGCCAGATTTGGGTGACACTTTCTCTTAAGCCTATCGTTGTTTTATGTCACTTGAATCCAGGTTACTGAAAAATCCCGAACTCTATGCCTTATATTCTAACTTCATGCACGAATATCTAAAAAATAATCACATCTCTATAATTCCCAATGATCAACCAAAACCAGCACTTGTACGAAGCTCCAGACAGATATTCAGGAAATCCTGTTAAAGTTTCGTGTTCATGCTGTCGTTTTTCTGGCCGACATAAAACAGATGTATTTGCAAATTCAAGTTAACCCTAGTCACCGCGATTTCCAGAGGTTGCTCTGGCGCTTTCACCCTAAGGAACCACTTCGGGAGTATCGCCTTAATGGTGCCACTTTTGGGATAAGCTCCAGCCCCTTCCTGGCTATTCGTACAATACAGGAACTTGCGAATCTGGAAAAGAAAACGTACCCTAAGGCATCTCAAGTACTACATGAAAATATCTTTATGGACGATATTTGCGTAGGAACCTCTACCATTGAGGAAGCCAAAGTGTTACAAAAGGAGTTAATTGCCTTATTAAGAACTGGAGGTTTTGAACTTCGAAAGTGGGCAAGTAATAAAACCCAACTCCTTTCTTCATCAGTTTATGTGAAAAATAAACAAACCAAGCTTTGGCAGAAAGGCAAAATTGTAAAGGTTTTAAGTTTTTGTACATATTTGGTACCAGTTGACATGCTCATCAAATTTGTTCATGCAGATTCTTTGCGTTCTGATTTAGGCTTGACTGATTCAATATATAATAATGATGTTTATTGTGGTGCACAGGCTTATGTTCCCCAAACCAATGTTTTACCCCAATCAGTGCCATCACAGTTAGCTCAAATTATTAAACCATCTAGTGCTTCTGAGATCAAGTTCAGTCCTACAAGTTTGTGACAACGAAAGTCTCCCGCTATGGTAGAGTTATAAAACCCACTTACAAGCTTAACCTTTAAGAAGGGGAGAATTGTTGTGAGTCTAGCTTTAGTGATAAGGGATGTCAAGGAATGACAGTGATAGTCTGTCTTCCACGGGTCTCGAGTAAGCACGTTGTAATACCAAAGAGTTAATCAAAACCGTCTTGTTATATTCAAATACATAACAGATTGGAGATATGAAAAAAAATCATATGACCTTTTTTGTATAGCAAGAGTTGTTTGTAATTTTGTGCAAGTTTCCTTATCATAGAATGTACAGGTAACGAAATCGCAAAAAAGTGCTCTCCAACCCTAGTTTTCGAGAGTATCAAAGGCATGCACGAAGAAATATATTAAGCATTTGCATGAAATGCATTGTGTGGTAGAAACTCTAAAAAAAAAAAACTACTTTTTGAAACAATTTTAATTTTTTTGGGGGGGTTGCAAGAAAAAGTGGGAGTACAGTATAGGAACTTTTAAATAACACTCCTTAGTCCTTCATAAATAATCTCGGAAAATTTATACACGCTAGCATTAGCTGTCCAGATAATATTATAAAGGTGTGTTTTTTAGGGGATGAAATTAACCCTGTATTTTAAAAATGCGCGATTGTCCATCTATGAAAAATATACCAAAAAATCAGTCATACATCTATGATGAATAACCGCAGGATTTCAAGTCGATTCGCATTTGTATTGACGGCAAAAAAATGTTTTATAGAAGCAAGTAGTCACCTTTTGGGCGTCACCCTCGCTTAAGGGTAGGTGATGGCTGCTGAAGAAATTGTAGGGAATATATTTCTCTTTAATTTACCATAAAAAACGCACCGGAAGGGTTAGGTTTACAAAAAACCAAAAACTGCTCCCTTTAGGGGCTGGAAAGATAGCGATCAGGGTGAAAGTCCTCCAAAACCTACAAAACCACTTTTTTCAACTAGATTGCTGACTCTGGAAGTTGGAAATTGCTCTGAGAAAATCTCAATAAAACTCTCAGCAATTTCTAGTACTTCTGGGAGTTTAAAAGTATTTTTTCGTACTTCAATCAGTCAAAACTCAAGACATTGGATTTCTCCGAGCAATCCTAAAATAATTTCAAACAAATCCGAACGCTCACATTAATTCTCATAAAACATTTATGATAATACATATCCTACTTAGTTTAATAATGTAAACAACACACAGACAAAATGATAGCGTTATCAATAGCAGCGGTTGCAATTATTTTAGCCATTTATTTGTTGTTAAAATTTAAACATTCCTATTGGAATAGAAAAGGAGTGCCACAAATAAAACCCTTTTTCCTGTTTGGCAATTTCAAAGATGCAGTTTTTGGTGACACTATTCCCAATGCAATCGTTAAAGAGGCTTATTGGAAATTTAAGATGGACGGAGTCAAACACGGTACCAAATTCTACTATTTTTATATAATAAATAAATACTGTATTTATTTTAGGTGGTATATACTTCATGTATACTCCAATTTGGATACCAATAGATCCAGAATTAATAAAATCAATATTGTTCCAAGACGCTCGTTACTTTACTGGTCATGGTTACTTTTATCAGCATAAAAATGATACATTAACGAATCATTTATTTAATGCCGAAGGCGAAAAATGGAAGCACCTAAGAGCAAAACTGACTCCTGCTTTCAGCAATGGTAAATTGAAACTAATGTTCGATATTTTGGACGCTGTCGGAGATAGATTGGAGAGAAAAGTTAAAGGGTTGTATGGAAAATCTGAACCATTAAATGTTAAAGAAGTAGCAGCATGTTTCGGAACTGATATTATAGCAACATGCGCTTTTGGCCTGGATTGCAACAGCTTGGAAGATCCAAACGTCCCTTTTAGAAAATATGGAAAACAAATCTTTGAACCTCGGATTTTGCAAGAAATCCTGGAACAACTTTTCAATTGGGATTTGTTGAACTTTTTCGGCCACAGTTGGCTCAACAAAGAAGTCAACGAATTCTTTCTAGGTTTGGTCAAAGACATGATAAATCTGAGAGACAAAAGACAGACAATCAGGCACGATTTTTTGCATTTACTGCTGCAGCTCCGAGACAAAGAGAATTTCAGTTTCGAAGATATTGCGGCTAATGTTTTAGTTATATACGCTGCTGGCTATGAAACCACATCTACGACAATGTCCTACGTTATGTACGAACTTGCCAGGCATCCAAAAATCCAGGACAAGTTAAGACAAGAAATTTTGAAGATTTGTCCAGGCGATAAGAAAGTTACTTATGATGATTTGCAACAAATGAAGTATTGTGAAATGGTTGTGAATGGTAAGTATATTTATTTTTATTAATCCAATTCAGTCAAAAAACTATTCTGTGGAAATATCTTTCTGGTATACCATTTTGAACTCTATAATGACAAAGATCGATGAGTAAAACGCAAATGTCCAAATGTTCTTCCTGGCATCTGGAAAGCTATAGAATTAGGTATTTTGAATTAGTTAGTGTTAGCTTTATTCATAATTCTCGATTTTTTTTTCCAAAAGTTAGCACTTTTGAGAGTGCCACATATATTTTTTTTTATTCAGCAAGTCTTTAGCTCTAACATACTAAAAATTCATAGAAAAAAAGTCAAGGATTACAAAATTGTGATTTTCAAGTGCATTTACTGATATTTCTGCTATGTGAGCTTTATTCACAATTTTCGATTTTTTTCGCAAAAGTTGGCAGTCCTGGGAGTGCCACGTATTTTTTTATTGATTCAGTAAGCTTTTAACTGTAACATACCAAAAACTTATAGAGAAAGAGCCAAGGATTACGAAATTGTGATTTTTATTTATAGGTTTTTGGTATGTTAGAGTTAGAAGCTTACTGAATTAATAAAAAAATACGTGGCACTCCCAGGAGTGCCAACTTTGCAAGAAAAAATCGAGAATTACGAATAAAGCTCACATTGCAGAAATATCAGTTACTGTACTCATAAGTTTTAAAAATCACAATTCCGTAATCCTTGGCTCTTTCTCTATGAATTTTCAGTATGTTAGAGTTAAAAGCTTGCTGAATAAATAAAAAAATACGTGGCACTACCAGGAGTGCCAACTTTTGCGAAAAAAAATCGAGAATTATGAATAAAGTTCACATAGCAGAAATATCACTTACTGTATTCATACATTTTTAAAATCACAATTTCGTAATCCTTGGCTCTATTTCTATGAGTTTTTGGTATGTTAGAGCTAAAAGCTTACTGAATTATTAAAAAAATACTTGGCACTCCCAGGAGTGCCAACTTTTGCGAAATAAAATCGAGAATTACGAATAAAGCTCACATAGCAGAAATATCAGTAAATGCACTCATACGTTTTAAAAATCACAATTTTGTAATCCTTAACTCTTTTTCTATGAATTTTTGGTATGTTGTAGTTAAAAGCTTGCTGAATAAATAAAAAAATACGTGGCACTACCAGGAGTGCCAACTTTTGCGAAAAAAAATCGAGAATTATGAATAAAGTTCACATAGCAGAAATATCAGTTACTGTACTCATACGTTTTAAAAATCACAATTGCGTAATCCTTGGCTCTTTCTTTATAAATTTTCCGTATGTTAGAGTTAAAAGCATGCTGAATAAATAAAAAGTACGTGGTACTCCCAGGAGTGCCAACTTTTACGAAAAAAAAATCGAGAATTACGAATAAAGCATACATAGCAAAAATATCAGTTACTGTACTCATACGTTTTAAGAATCACAATTGCGTAATCCTTGGCTCTTTCTTTATAGATTTTCCGTATGTTAGAGTTAAAAGCTTTCTGAATGAATAAAAAGTACGTGGTACTCCCAGGAGTGCCAACTTTTACGAAAAAAAAATCGAGAATTACGAATAAAGCATACATAGCAAAAATATCAGTTACTGTACTCATACGTTTTAAGAATCACAATTGCGTAATCCTTGGCTCTTTCTTTATAAATTTTCCGTATGTTAGAGTTAAAAGCTTGCTGAATGAATAAAAAAATACTTGGCACTCCCAGGAGTGCCAAATTTTGGGGGAAAAGATCCAGAATGTGAATAAAGCTCACATAGCAAAAATATCAGTTAATGTACTCAGACGTTCTAAAAATCACAATTGCGTAATCCTTGGCTCTTTCTCCATGAGTTTTTGATATTTTAGAGTTATAAGCTCACTGAATTAATGAAAAAATACGTGGCACTCCCAGGAGTGCCAACTTTTGCGAAAAAAATCGAGAATTACGAATAAAGCTCACATAGCAGAAATATCAGTTACTGTACTCATACGTTTTAAAAATCACAATTGCGTAATCCTTGGCTCTTTCTTTATAAATTTTCCGTATGTTAGAGTTAAAAGCTTGCTGAATAAATAAAAAAATACGTGGTACTCCCAGGAGTGCCAACTTTTACGAAAAAAAAATCGAGAATTATGAATAAACCTCACATAGTAGAAATATCAGTTACTGTACTCATACGTTTTTAAAATCACAATCTCGTAATCCTTGGCTCTTTCTCTATGAATTTTCAGTATATTAGAGTTAAAAGCTTGCTGAATTGATAAAAAAATATGTGGCACTCTCAGGAGCGCCAACTTTTGGGGAAAAAGATCGAGAAAGCGAATAAAGCTCACATAGCAGAAATATTAGTTACTGGACTCATACGTTTTAAAAATCACAATTTCGTAATCCTTGGCTCTTTCTCTATGAATTTTCCGTATGTTAGAGTTAAAAGCTTGCTGAATAAATAAAAAAATACGTGGCATTCTCAGGGGTGCCAACTTTTGGGGAAAAAGATCGAGAAAGCGAATAAAGCTCACATAGCAGAAATATCAGTTACTGGACTCATACGTTTTAAAAATCACAATTTCGTAATCCTTGGCTCTTTCTCTATGAATTTTCCGTATGTTAGAGTTAACAGCTTGCTGAATAAATAAAAAAATAAGTGGCACTACCAGGAGTGCCAACTTTTGGGAAAAAAATCGAGAATTACGAATGAAGCTCACATAGCAGAAATATCAGTTACTGTAATCATACGTTTTAAAAATCACATTTGCGTAATCCTTGGCTCTTTCTCTATGAGTTTTTCGTATGTTAGAGTTAAAAGCTTACTGAATTAATAAAAAAATACGTGGCACTCCCAGGAGTGCCAACTTTTGGGAGAAAAAATCGAGAATTACGAATAAAGCTCACATAGCAGAAATATCAGTAAATGCACTCATACGTTTTAAAAATCACTATTTTGAAATCCTTGGCTCTTTTTCTATAAATTTTCCGTATGTTAGAGTTAAAAGCTTGCTGAATAAATTAAAAAATACGTGGCACTCTTAGGGGTGCCAACTTTTGGGGAAAAAGATCGAGAAAGCGAATAAAGCTCACATAGCAGAAATATCAGTTACTGGACTCATACGTTTTAAAAATCACAATTTCGTAATCCTTGGCTCTTTCTCTATGAATTTTCCGTATGTTAGAGTTAAAAGCTTGCTGAATAAATAAAAAAATACCTGGCATTCTCAGGGGTGCCAACTTTTGGGGAAAAAGATCGAGAAAGCGAATAAAGCTCACATAGCAGAAATATCAGTTACTGGACTCATACGTTTTAAAAATCACAATTTCGTAATCCTTGGCTCTTTCTCTATGAATTTTCCGTATGTTAGAGTTAAAAGCTTGCTGAATAAATAAAAAAATACGTGGCATTCTCAGGGGTGCCAACTTTTGGGGAAAAAGATCGAGAAAGCGAATAAAGCTCACATAGCAGAAATATCAGTTACTGGACTCATACGTTTTAAAAATCACAATTTCGTAATCCTTGGCTCTTTCTCTATGAATTTTCCGTATGTTAGAGTTAAAAGCTTGCTGAATAAATAAAAAAATACGTGGCATTCTCAGGGGTGCCAACTTTTGGGGAAAAAGATCGAGAAAGCGAATAAAGCTCACATAGCAGAAATATAAGTTACTGTACTCATACGTTTTAAAAATCACAATTTTGAAATCCTTGGCTCTTTTTCTATGAGTTTTTCGTATGTTAGAGTTAAAAGCTTACTGAATTAATAAAAAAATACGTGGCACTCCCAGGAGTGCCAACTTTTGGGAGAAAAAATCGAGAATTACGAATAAAGCTCACATAGCAGAAATATCAGTAAATGCACTCATACGTTTTAAAAATCACGATTTTGTAATCCTTGGCTCTTTTTCTATGAATTTTCCGTATGTTAGAGTTAAAAGCTTGCCGAATAAATAAAAAAATACGTGGCACTCGCAGGAGTGCCAAATTTTGGGAAAAAGAATCGAGAATTATGAATAAAGTTCACAAGCAGACATATCAGTAACTGTACTCATACGTTTTAAAAATCACAATTTCGTAATCCTTGGCACTTTCTTTATAAATTTTCCGTGTGTTAGAGTTAAAAGCTTTCTGAATAAATAAAAAAATACGTGGCACTCTCAGGGGTGCCAACTTTTGGGGAAAAAGATCGAGAAAGCGAATAAAGCTCACATAGCAGAAATATCAGTTACTGGACTCATACGTTTTAAAAATCACAATTTCGTAATCCTTGGCTCTTTCTCTATGAATTTTCCGTATGTTAGAGTTAAAAGCTTGCTGAATAAATAAAAAAATACGTGGCATTCTCAGGGGTGCCAACTTTTGGGGAAAAAGATCGAGAAAGCGAATAAAGCTCACATAGCAGAAATATCAGTTACTGGACTCATACGTTTTAAAAATCACAATTTCGTAATCCTTGGCTCTTTCTCTATGAATTTTCCGTATGTTAGAGTTAAAAGCTTGCTGAATAAATAAAAAAATACGTGGCACTCTCAGGGGTGCCAACTTTTGGGGAAAAAGATCGAGAATGCGAATAAAGCTCACATAGCAGAAATATAAGTTACTGTACTCATACGTTTTAAAAATCACAATTTCGTAATCCTTGGCTCTTTCTCTATAAGTTTGTGGTATGTTAGAGTTAAAAGCTTACTGAATAAATAAAAAAATACGTGGCACTCCCAGGAGTGCCAACTTTTCCGAAAAAAATCGAGAATTATGAATAAAGCTTACATAGTAGAAATATCAGTTACTTCACTCATACGTTTTAAAAAACACAATTGCGTAATCCTTAGCTCTTTCTCCATGAGTTTTTGGTATGTTAGAGTTACAAACTTACTAAATTAATAAAATAATACGTGGCAATTCCAGGAGTGCCAACTTTTCCGAAAAAAAATCGAGAATTACGAATAAAGCTCACATAGCAGAAATATCAGTAAATGCACTCATACGTTTTAAAAATCACAATTTTGAAATCCTTGGCTCTTTTTCTATAAATTTTCCGTATGTTAGAGTTAAAAGCTTGCTGAATAAATAAAAAAATACGTGGCATTCTCAGGGGTGCCAACTTTTGGGGAAAAAGATCGAGAAAGCGAATAAAGCTCACATAGCAGAAATATCAGTAAATGCACTCATACGTTTTAAAAATCACGATTTTGTAATCCTTGGCTCTTTTTCTATGAATTTTCCGTATGTTAGAGTTAAAAGCTTGCCGAATAAATAAAAAAATACGTGGCACTCGCAGGAGTGCCAAATTTTGGGAAAAAGAATCGAGAATTATGAATAAAGTTCACAAGCAGATATATCAGTAACTGTACTCATACGTTTTAAAAATCACAATTTCGTAATCCTTGGCACTTTCTTTATAAATTTTCCGTGTGTTAGAGTTAAAAGCTTTCTGAATAAATAAAAAAATACGTGGCACTCTCAGGGGTGCCAACTTTTGGGGAAAAAGATCGAGAAAGCGAATAAAGCTCACATAGCAGAAATATCAGTTACTGGACTCATACGTTTTAAAAATCACAATTTCGTAATCCTTGGCTCTTTCTCTATGAATTTTCCGTATGTTAGAGTTAAAAAGCTTGCTGAATAAATAAAAAAATATGTGGCACTCCCAGGAGTGCCAAATTTTGGGGAAAAAGATCGAGAATGCGAATAAAGCTCACATAGCAGAAATATCAGTAACTGTACTCATACGTTTTAAAAATCACAATTTCGTAATCCTTGGCACTTTCTTTATAAATTTTCCGTGTGTTAGAGTTAAAAGCTTTCTGAATAAATAAAAAAATACGTGGCACTCTCAGGGGTGCCAACTTTTGGGGAAAAAGATCGAGAAAGCGAATAAAGCTCACATAGCAGAAATATCAGTTACTGGACTCATACGTTTTAAAAATCACAATTTCGTAATCCTTGGCTCTTTCTCTATGAATTTTCCGTATGTTAGAGTTAAAAGCTTGCTGAATAAATAAAAAAATACGTGGCATTCTCAGGGGTGCCAACTTTTGGGGAAAAAGATCGAGAAAGCGAATAAAGCTCACATAGCAGAAATATCAGTTACTGGACTCATACGTTTTAAAAATCACAATTTCGTAATCCTTGGCTCTTTCTCTATGAATTTTCCGTATGTTAGAGTTAAAAGCTTGCTGAATAAATAAAAAAATACGTGGCACTCTCAGGGGTGCCAACTTTTGGGGAAAAAGATCGAGAATGCGAATAAAGCTCACATAGCAGAAATATAAGTTACTGTACTCATACGTTTTAAAAATCACAATTTCGTAATCCTTGGCTCTTTCTCTATAAGTTTGTGGTATGTTAGAGTTAAAAGCTTACTGAATAAATAAAAAAATACGTGGCACTCCCAGGAGTGCCAACTTTTCCGAAAAAAATCGAGAATTATGAATAAAGCTTACATAGTAGAAATATCAGTTACTTCACTCATACGTTTTAAAAAACACAATTGCGTAATCCTTAGCTCTTTCTCCATGAGTTTTTGGTATGTTAGAGTTACAAACTTACTAAATTAATAAAATAATACGTGGCAATTCCAGGAGTGCCAACTTTTCCGAAAAAAAATCGAGAATTACGAATAAAGCTCACATAGCAGAAATATCAGTAAATGCACTCATACGTTTTAAAAATCACAATTTTGAAATCCTTGGCTCTTTTTCTATAAATTTTCCGTATGTTAGAGTTAAAAGCTTGCTGAATAAATAAAAAAATACGTGGCATTCTCAGGGGTGCCAACTTTTGGGGAAAAAGATCGAGAAAGCGAATAAAGCTCACATAGCAGAAATATAAGTTACTGTACTCATACGTTTTAAAAATCACAATTTTGAAATCCTTGGCTCTTTTTCTATGAGTTTTTCGTATGTTAGAGTTAAAAGCTTACTGAATTAATAAAAAAATACGTGGCACTCCCAGGAGTGCCAACTTTTGGGAGAAAAAATCGAGAATTACGAATAAAGCTCACATAGCAGAAATATCAGTAAATGCACTCATACGTTTTAAAAATCACGATTTTGTAATCCTTGGCTCTTTTTCTATGAATTTTCCGTATGTTAGAGTTAAAAGCTTGCCGAATAAATAAAAAAATACGTGGCACTCGCAGGAGTGCCAAATTTTGGGAAAAAGAATCGAGAATTATGAATAAAGTTCACAAGCAGATATATCAGTAACTGTACTCATACGTTTTAAAAATCACAATTTCGTAATCCTTGGCACTTTCTTTATAAATTTTCCGTGTGTTAGAGTTAAAAGCTTTCTGAATAAATAAAAAAATACGTGGCACTCTCAGGGGTGCCAACTTTTGGGGAAAAAGATCGAGAAAGCGAATAAAGCTCACATAGCAGAAATATCAGTTACTGGACTCATACGTTTTAAAAATCACAATTTCGTAATCCTTGGCTCTTTCTCTATGAATTTTCCGTATGTTAGAGTTAAAAAGCTTGCTGAATAAATAAAAAAATATGTGGCACTCCCAGGAGTGCCAAATTTTGGGGAAAAAGATCGAGAATGCGAATAAAGCTCACATAGCAGAAATATAAGTTACTGTACTCATACGTTTTAAAAATCACAATTTCGTAATCCTTGGCTCTTTCTCTATAAGTTTGTGGTATGTTAGAGTTAAAAGCTTACTGAATAAATAAAAAAATACGTGGCACTCCCAGGAGTGCCAACTTTTCCGAAAAAAAAATCGAGAATTACGAATAAAGCTCACATAGCAGAAATATCAGTAAATGCACTCATACGTTTTAAAAATCACAATTTTGTAATCCTTGGCTCTTTTTCTATAAATTTTTGAGGTTCTGAGGACTTTTGAGTAAAAATTCTTGGTTCAAAAGTTACTTAATACTGGAAATATGAAGACACTAGAATCTAAGATTCTAAAATGTTAGATTTTGGAATCTTCGCATAAATACTCAGTTCCCAATACTAAAAACTCTGACAACTAAAAGACACACTGAAGAATTCATTCCATGAAAATTCAAGCTTCAAGAGTCAATATTGACACCAGAAAGACGAAAGATTTCCAACTTTAAAGTTGGAGTCAAGATTCTATAGAGACCTTGAAGAAATCGAGAGTTTATACTGGCACTTGAGACAGATAAAATTTCTAACTTCTATCTATCACAATATGGAAACTATTATAAAAACTACTAAGTACCAAGTGCTAAATAGTAAAACGTCTGAGTCAAGATTCTAGAGACTCTGAAGATAAGAAACTAACTCATACCTACTAAAAATTTGAAGACAAAGTCTGTGACAAAGTGCTGTAAGACCATTGAATTTTATGTAAGACGCTATATGCTAAACAGTGAAGAATTGACACTGCTCCGACTTCGAAAGGACATATTCCGGGTGAAGATTCAAGATTCTAAAGTCGTTTTGCTGAAAACCAAGAAAAATCGAGTTAGATTTGAAGCGTCTAGCGACTCATAACTGATGACACTGATGCAATACTAATGTTTTTAAAGATTTTTGACCCAAAATCCTCGATCCAAGAGTCAATATTGACACTTGAAAGAGACTTTGAAATCTCATTTTCTTTCCAAACAATCAATCACACCTAATCTATATAGTATTTTCCTGCTTCCACAAAAGAAAAATCAAGAGCAAAGAGTCAAATCTGATAATTTGACTCTTTGCGGCTCCTAATGTGAGTACCATGCTGGAGTTAAAAGCTTGCTGAATAAATAAAAAAATACGTGGCACTCCCAGGAGAGCCAAGTTTTGGGGAAAAAGATCGAGAATGTAAATAAAGCTTACATAGCAGAAATATCAGTTACTGTACTCATACGTTTTTAAAATCACAATCTCGTAATCCTTGGCTCTTTCTCTATACATTTTTGGTATGTTAGAGTTAAAAGCTTATTGAATTAATAAAAAAATACGTGGCACTCCCAGGAGTGCCAACTTTTGCGAGAAAAAATCGAAAATCACGAATAAAGCTCACATAGCAGAAATATCAGTAAATACACTCATACGTTTTAAAAATCACAATTTTGTTGGCTTTTTTGCTATAAATATTTGGTATATTGGAGTTGAACAACTTTCTCACTTAATTTTTTTTTATACACAGTGGCACAAAAAAGTTAAGGGGGGTGGGAAAATATAAAAAATGACCCGTACCTACTTAGTCATTTGCCAATGTTAGTCCTATAGTTCTAATGGTTTTTGTATGTAAAAATATCTCTGGTCCCTGGACCCATTCTATAATTTGTAGGTTCATCTTATTTAAAGTTTTTGTTTAATATTCTTATACTGATATTATTTTTAGAAACTCTTAGGTTGCACAATACAGCAACAGAAACCCCAAGAAAATGTACAAAAACATACCAAATCCCTGGCACAGATGTAAAAATAGAAGAAGGCATATTTGTTCTAATACCTAATTGGGGTTTACATACTGATCCAGATTACTATCCAAACCCTTTGGAATTCGATCCAGAAAATTTCAGTGAATCTAGCAAAGCTTCTAGACATCCAAACGCTTTGTTTTTGCCTTTTGGAGAGGGAACCAGGCAGTGTATTGGTAAAAACTATTAAATTTATTTGAATTATTAAAATATGTAGTAACATTTCTTATAAGGAATGAGGTTTGCAATGATGGAATTGAAACTGGCCATGGTGAAATGTCTCAGGAAATTCAAGTACGAATTAAACCCAGCGACTCCGAAAGATGTTACTTATGAAGCCAACAATGTCACTATGATTCCTAAGGGAGAAATTTTGTTGGATATTTTAGAAATTTAATCAAAAGTTTTCTTTTACACATTTGAAATAAATTCATTCAAAAACCATTTCCTGGGTCGTTTTTTTGAAAAATGAGAATGTGTAAGCTCACTATTTTCTTCAATAAGTATTTTATTTTGTTTGGTTGAAAGTAAGTTGGTACTTTTAAGGGGGGCGGTATGTTACGCCACTGGTGAGTAGTTTTCATTGGAATGTCTTAACGGCAGCACCGGCAAGGGTAGAGCGCGGTGGTGGCACGGCTGTATTTGAGTTTCAGTGGCATTATTGATTTTTCACTGGCAAAGTTCGAGTTGTAATAATAAATCCAAAAACTTCAAAAAAAAAGTGTTTTATTGGAAGTAGATGTAAAGGCGAGAAATTATACAAGGTTCAACGGTTGTTTTAGGCACCAGCTCCAGTGTTTTTATACTCCCAGAACCTGTTAAAGTGAATATCGTCCAAATTTCTATTGGCGGCTGTATTTCCTGCAAACTTCCTGCCACTTGTGGCTGTATCCCATGGAGCGTTCACATTGACAACATCCACAATTTCAGTTTCTCTTATAACAAGTTGGCCATTAGGATTCACCGCTGCGAATACACAAAACTAATACTTGAGGCTGAAAATCGAAAAGAAAAGTTTCTTACTTCCACTAGCATCCCAAGCTCTAGCCAAATGACAGCCCTTCTTAGCCTTGATGTTGTTGTCGGCGGTAATTTTGCTTTTCAGAACCAGGTAACCGTATTTTTGGCTGTTTGGCGTGTTCGGAGCAAAAATTACAGCCGAGTCTCTAGGCCTGTCGCCTCTGGCGATTATTTGAGCTTCTTCAAATACTGCCGAAGCCTGTCCGAAGATAAAATCAACATCTCCAGTAATAATAGGCTTGTTGAAGTACATTCTTTTACCACTTGTGAATAAAGTGTCCTAAAATTTTGATAAAATGTACTATTGTCATGTTTAATATGAAAGTTACTTACTTGATATCCGTAGAAGTGGACGTGGTCCCAGTTTTGTTTATCTCCATGGGCATTGGCAGCTACAGCTTGGCTATCCTTACAGAGATTTTCGATTTTGACGTAAGCGATTTCGAAATTGTCGTTTTCGGCTGAAACGACACCGGAACAACTGGTTCCTATGAAGAAAATTTCGAAATTAATTTGCCAACGTTACCATTTTCTTATAGTATACCAACTTATAGTATAGTATAGAGAATACTTGAGAATGAGGAATGTGTTCTAATGAAAATGCATGCTTATGGAAACCACAATGATATATATTCTAAAACTAAGTCAAATTTCATAAAAACTCATTGGATCGGCTTCAAAATTACTCTGATCTGTATTCGAGTAAATTGTAGTTATTTCCGTATTTGACTCAGAAATATTTGGTTTTGAATTATTCAATCATTTGAATCAACATCAACATTTGAATGCTATCTGCATAACTGAATGGAATAATAAGAAAAGTCTGCGCGCACAAGTCCGTCAGGACTTCAACAGAAACGTTCTTATTTATTTTCCTTCTGTTTTCTGATTAGATAAGATAGCTGAGTATTATTGTCTGTATTATTTTTTTATTTGAATTTTGCTCGCTTCTCCTTTTACTCAGGAATGGTCAAAACTCACAACTTTCTGCATTTCTGATTGAATTTGGTTCCAATAGACGTTTTTCGTTATATTATCATTTGCATATCATTGTTGTTGAATTATCTTTAAAAAAAAACAGATATGTTCTCCTGTATTTAATAATTGTTAAACAGTTTCATCTCGATGTCAAGTTTAGTTATCTCTGAGTTTAGTTTTGTTATAATCTTGTCAAATGAGTACAATAATTATCTTCTAAAAGTATAACTCAACATTACATAGAAATAACCAATGACATCTTAACACTTGTGTTAATATGTCATTGGAAATAACGAATCCAGCATGAATAAATATGACAGAACCAACAAATAATGAATCTGGAGTTATTGGTGTACGTTCTCCAAAGCATTTTGTTTTAAACTCCGAAAATAGGGCAAGAAAAATTGGATACAACAGTTCGAATGGTACGCTATTATAGCTACACAGTTATCGAAGAAACCCAAAGAAATTCAAGCAGCCACATTTATTACTACGATTAGCCCAGATGCTGTAGAAATATTCAATAATTTTGGATTATCTGATAATGAGAAGGATATTAGCGTAATAAAGGGTGAATTGGAGGAATATTTTATCCCTAAACTTAATGTTTCTTTTGAAAGATATCAATTTGGTTATTGTTTAGTAAAGGTCCTCCGTCCTTCACAAAAATACCATGCATTTTTAGTTAAGTTTTATCTCATAATATTGTTTCATGATCAAAAATGTTGGCGCAAATAAATATTAGGTAATTGATTAGTTTGATTTTTTTGTACCCAAGGGCGCCCACAGGGAGGGTCAGGGGGGGATCACTCGACCCCCCCTGGAAATTTCTTAAATTTTTATTATTTTCTATATATATTATATGGTAGGTCCGATGATGCTCGTATGAGCGAAACGGGCTTATTTGAATTCGGCCACAAACCAGCTAGCTGCAGTAATCCTACCTTTGAATTCGACCAAATCATGAAACCCAACCTACTACCCATAAAACTTACTTTATGATGTTGACAGATTTCGCATTGCATATGAGTTAATTAATCTAAAAAAGTGTAAATATGTATTTTGATGCGCAAAATAAAAAGATCTACCAAAATGACTATGGAAAGATTCACAGGCATTTGTTTTCTTATCCAGGTCTATCGAGGCATGTGCCATGTGTCGATGAGATAATCTGAAAATTTAACTAGAACTTCGTGATTCGGCTGAATAGCTAACAACTCGAAAACAAAGAAATCGCTAACTTCTTGATTCTCCAAAAACATCATTCCGAAACAATTATCTAACGATTTACCGATTTCTGAATCTTTTTTTTTTTTATATTCAATGCTTAAGCCTAAGTTTTGGATCTTCCTCTACCATGCCTGAGATTTTAGGTATTTATAAGAAGTAAATAAGTTGATTTAATATCTATATCTCAGTGTACCGATTTGCATATTGATAAATTGTCACCCTTTCCTTATTCCGGAACTGGTGAATTTTGTGGCTGAGTTTAAGGACCCCGGAGCTAAACACATGTCACTATTAAGTGAATCAAATAATAAACAATCTGTGTGTTAACATGTGGCTTTTCAAATTATGTTTTTGCTTAAATTTTGCATTGCAAGTGTCACATTCAAATGGATAAATATCCGAATGTGTTAGTTTGTGAATCTTTAAATCGGCTTTCCATTTAAATTTTGATTTGCAAGTGTCACATTCAAAAGGATAAATATCCGAGTGTGTTGAAATGTGCCTTTGTAAATTACTTTTCTTCAAATTTTGCCTTGCAAGTGTCACATTCAAATGGATAAATACCCGAATGTGTTAGTTTGTGTATCTTAAAATCGCGTTTCCGTTTAAATTTTGATTTGCATTTGTCCCATTCAAAAAAATTAAATATCCAAGTGTATCAATATGTGTTCCTTCGAATCGCCTTCTCTTTTCAATTTTGCTTTGCAAATGTTACATTTGAAATTCTCCTCATCTGAGTGTGTTAATATGTGGCTTCTCAAACTACGTTTGTGTTCAAATTTTGCATTGCATGTGTCACATTTAAAAGGATAAAAATATCAGTCTGTGTTAGTTTGTGTCTTTTTAAAGGTCTTTTCCTTTGAATTTTGCTTTGCAAATGTCACATTCAAAAAGATAACTATCGAAGTCTGTTAATATGTGACTTTTCAAATTACCTTTTTGTTTAAATTTTCCTAATTTAAATTTTTCTTTGAATTTTGCATTGCATATGTTGCATTTAAAATTCTTGTCGACCAAGTGTGTTAGTTTGTGTCTCTTCAAACTGCCTTTTTTTTTTTAAATTTTGCTTTGCAAATGTTGCATTTAAAATTCTGATTCTGCTTCTAAAATGATAATTTAGACTGAAGTGCCCTTTTTTACGCATAAAAAATTTATTCAATTGATTTTGACCCCCCCTACATATTTTTTTGCGGGCGCCCCTGTTTGTACCATAATATTAAAGGACTGATTTCAAATAATAAGTACTAGTTCAGTAAAAGTCCTTCACAAAAATGTCATGCTTCTTCTTACGTGGACGGGTTAGTTTGCATATTTCTGGTTAGTTTAGCGGGCGAATATCAACATACATGGTCTAGCACCATTGAGTGAGACTAGCACGCATTATGTGGACGGGTTAGTTTGAGTTGGTTTGCATATTTCTGGTTAGTTTCGTTCAATGACGTTTCGTTACAGTAGATGCTAGTTCGAAAAATTCAGGAGCTGCCTTGATGCAAGAAAATCAACTCATTGGATATGCTACTAGTTCATTAACACCGTCACAGCAAAATTGGCCTCAAATTGAGAAAGAAGCGTACGCAATAAAAGTTAAATGTGATAAATTTCATTAATTGGTATATATATGGCAAGAAACTCACAGAAACAGACCATAAGCTATTAGAAGCTATTTTCAAAAAACCCATTCACTTTGCGCCACCTAGCCTACAACGAATATTATTGGAAGTATCATATAGTATTCGCCCAAAATAATATACAAAAAAGTTAAAGATATACCTACCTTTAGCAGATATTTTAAGTAGGGATTGCGAAGAAACTGAAGAAAATCTAGAAAACGAGGAAGAATTAGGGTTGCCAGGCGTCACGTATTAAGCGTGATTGTCACGATTTTTGAATGGTTGTCACACATGACACCAGAGTATGCGCGTGACACGCTTTTTCATAATTTCAAGTAAACGCTTCCTAAATAAATTATTTATTATGGCGTTTCCGATTGGTAGATTTAGTGCGGAACTAGTGCAATTTTTTCTATCTCTGTCTTTTTCTTCTACAGGTCGATTAAAAGGATGCAAATACACCCAGTGCGCACTGAATCTACCAATCGGAAACGCCATTAGTTAAAAATAGACTTGCCTCAGACCTTAATATACAGGGTATTTGGTACATCGATATGAATATTTCAATGAGTTATAGCTGGGGTTATTTGGAAACTGTTTGACCATATTTACCCTAATGAAAAGTTGTTTGTTTGCCGTTTTTTGACATATCACCAAATGCCCCCTTGCCCCCCCCCCCTGGCTACGCCAGTGGTAGTGTTAGTGTATGGGGCCCTTTATTGGTCCCTGCTTCGCATCGCATCTAAAGGCCGGTAAAAAATTAAGAAAGGATATTTCGATTTTGACCAGATAAAAATTTCAGCGATTCGATACGACGTTACTTTTTCGCTTATAGCTCCCCTATTTCTCAACCGATCGTTTCGAGTCATATCTCTTTTGAAAGAAAATGAAATTACCTATAATATTTATTTATGCAACAAGTGTGTAAAGGTGCTTTACGCACGTATTGCATACAAAATTTTTTCTACTACCAATCAAATATGTGTAAAAAAATAAATTTAGACAAATTCTTTACGCACTAGTTCGTAAAGTATTTCCACTTTACGCACTAGTACGTGAAGTAATTTACCAGAAAAATAGAAATTTGACAGGTCGACATCTGTCATTGACATTACTTTACGCACTAGTGTGTGAAGTGAACTACTTTACGCACTAGTGCGTGAAGAAAAATTTTACGTCTTCTGAATAGTGTGTAAAGTGGGTACTTTACGCACGGTAGTAGAAAAAATATTTTTTTATTAAGATTCCAGGCCGTTTTCATCTGTGAGATATCAGCTGTCAAAGTTGAAATTTTTTGTAATTTTGTTAAAATTTTCCAGGGCGATTTTCTCGAAAACGATGTCCCGTGGCGAGACACTTCTTATAGGCTTTTTTGTAGTACTCGACAAGACCTATAAGTTTTGCATTTGAAGTTTTTCTCCCGAACTTTTCGTTTTCGAGTTAGGACACGTTGAAAATTGAAAAAAATAAATCGAAGGCTACCCCCTTTCAATTTTTTTGTCGAAAAAATTCAAATTTTGAATTTCAAAAAAAAAAAAAAAATTATCGGATAGAGGAGCAAAAAATACGACGAAAAGTTAATTTGACCCTCCTTGCTACGGCACATCTTAATGCCGGAAAAAAAAAAAAAAAAAAAAATTCGATTTTGATCAGAAAGACATTGTGGGTAC